CATCTTTATCTCACTACCGGAAGGCTGAGCAGCAATCCCAACTATTGGAACAGATTCTGATCTCATCTACACTTGCATAAATTCAGAGTGAATACACTGAAATCAATGGAGTTGTTCTGAATTTACACAGTTTGTCTCAGAGTAGGGCCTAGCCTATTCTGCTCTTTCTAGGCTTGTGTTGTGTCATCTTTCCAATTCATATTATACTAAAGTACCTACAGTATCTAACCCATCTCTTCCCCCTCTGCCAGTCAATCATTCCCTCCAGTGACTGGATTGAGATGGTACCTCACAATACAACTAACAGCTTCTGTGCTGGCTCTTTCAGTTCCGGTGCAATTTAAATTTTCATTAAAAAAAAAACAGGATTCTAGACTATGAAGAAAACCTTCCGAAGATGGCCCAATGCATTGCTGTCTTCCTGCACCTGCCTGTAGACTGCCTGGGACAATGGGCCCAACCAATCCTCATCTCCCTTATGCTAGTGCATATTTGGAGTAACTCCACCAAAATAAGTGGAGTCACGCAGATGTAAAACTGGCTTATGGGAGCTCAGGACTGGACTGAAGAGCTCTAAGAGTCTTGTTATCAGACCCCTCTCTCCATTGCATGATCGTTTGTCCACTTCTCAACGCATTATTGAATATGGTGTTACTACTATGCCAAGAGCTTTACATCAGGTCCCTGCCCTGAAGAGCTTAGAATTCAAACAAGAGAGACATGACAAGAAATGAAAACCAGGTGTGGTGTAGACAGGGCGGAAGCATGAACAATGGAAAACAGAGAGGAAGATTTCTCTAATGCCAGATATTTACCAAGGATGCAGATCATTTGTTTGGTTTCCCTCCTTGGTATTTTCTTCTTCTTCTTTTTCATTTTTTAATATGACCAGGTGCAAAGAAAGACGCGGAAAGCATCAGAGTTGAGAGTAGTGATAGAAAATATGAGAGGAGTTTGGAGGAACGGTTTGAAGGAGGCAACTATATGTGGCTTGTTGCTATTTGCCAGCATTTGTGTGTTAGACGTGCATTTACGGGCATCGAAATCTGAAATAAGTCCAAGTCAGTGCCCAGCAGCCACATCCCCAGTCTCGGGCCAGCCACTAGAACGCCTGTTATGGGATCTTTTCTTGTCTACAAATTAAGGGCCAAATCCAACTCATCTTACTCCCAGAAAGCTCAGGCTGGCTTCTTCGGGGCCTAACCCATAACCTACCGGTGAAGCAAAACTCACTTCTGCACTGCAAGTAGTGTCTCTCTGTTTGGTGTTGAGGCAAATTGTCTCAGCACATTTTGCATCAAGAAGCAGAGAGCCCCATACTCTTATGTAGCCTTGTTCTTAAGGAACTGAATTTCTTCACCATATTACACCCTGGAAAAATCTCTACCAGATAATAATTCTGTATTGTGCTGACATTCACCTTGTGGCTAGGAACTGCAATGGCCACATCTATACAGAAGTTATTGGGATACGTTTTGCCCTGATGCACTGGACCCTACAGTTTGCAATGGGGTTGTATGCAGTGTAAGCCAGGGCAAAATTCATCTTGTTATTTTGTTTAAGATATAAAGCTTGGCAAGCTGCGGCTTTGTGAGGAACAGGCAACAGACATGCCACAACAGAGGATTCTGAGCACATTTAATACGTCTCCTAGTGGCAGAGACACTAAGTATCACTGTTCCTCTGTCCCTGAGTCAGGATGACAGAGCCATCCTGGGGGAAACTTGACAGCATCAGATAAGACATTGCACATGGAATATTGTATGGAGGGGAAAAAACATATTTTTCCTGTCACAGTAATTTTAGTCAGTTTTAATAGACAAACACACTAATTTCTTCTGCAGATACTTACAGTCCTGTACAGCATAGGTCCTCTCCCGTCAATAAGATTTCACCAAAAAAGCCACCTAAGCACTCATATGAACATGTTCCACTGTACATAAACTTGGCATCAGTTTTATTTTCAGTGAACATCCAAGTCTAGTGCTCTACGTTTTTATGGAACTGGGATGCCACAGATTCTGTTCTTGCAGTTCCTTTCAGCCTGCTAGATAGAATATTTTATCCTTGAACAGAAAACAGCTGGGTATGGCAGACGGGAGCTCCACAATGCCAATTTTCCACTGGTGTAAAGTCTAGTAAAGACCCTATGTCAGTGCGGAAACTTAAAGCAGCAGCAGCTCTAGGTGGTGTTAAAACCAGGTCCGATCCTCAGTCAGGGAGACGTAACTCGCTGTCCTGAGAGGGCTATGGGAAGCAGAGTGGAAAGTAGAGCAGGCCTCAGCTGTCCTAGAATTTGGAGACTGCAAAGGTGGCTTAAAGCCACCTCTGCCCCACCCCTCTGTTTCTCCACCAAGCGCAGGAACAGAGCAACTCAGAATCTGGCGTTTGAAAGGTACGTCTACACTACCCTCAGTAAAAAAACCGCAGCATGGCCATGAGTTAGCTGACTCAGGCGCCGAGATTCGTTGCCACGCGTTTTTTATCGCAGTGTAGACATACCCTAAGTCTCTCCTTGTCGTCATGCCTTCCCAAAACACAAACCAAACCTGGTGTCACTGAACTTAAAATAAGTCACAAAAACATTTCTGTCTTAGGAGAGTCATTTAGAACAACATTTTACAGATGAACTAGATGATAAGAGCCCCTTCAAACAGCAGCAATCGGGGAAAAAAAGAAGTGAATTAAGCTCAGTGGAGGGAGAATGGGGTATTTAGCAAGGCTTATTTGTCCATTACAAATTGCAGCTTAGTGGTTAATCTTTGTTACATGGGGCGATGTTGTTTTTAAAGACATTAGGGCTGTACAAGGATGCCTTCAAGCTTCAAAGAGCCTGGAAATTTATTACCCTGATACAAAATACGTAAACGTGCACGTGCTGATTTAAGGGAATAATGTCAAAAAGCCCTACCCAGCCTGCCCCAACCTTGTCCAAAAAACACCAAGTTTTATGAGGCATGCGTGGCTGCTGGCTACTGCTACTGAACTCAGAGCTTTGGGTCAAGGATTTTAAAGTTTACACCCCCTCTCTCTACGTTGAAAGGAAAGCCAAGCTAAAAGGATGACTGGTTTCCTTCAGAATGCTGAGTGAATAACCTTGAAGGGTAACTACGCAGCCCGTTCCATTGCAAGGATTTATTAGCCCTTTTACTTAAATACTATAGCAAATGTTCACATCCACTGAAAGCCGAGTTGAGATCTGATTCACCAACTTGAAGTCAATGGCCCTATTTCAACTATATCTGAAATAGGCCCTTTCTCCTCATATCACTGATATTTCAATTTCAAATTCATTATCAGAGTGCTTTCTTGAGGGAAAACACACCCCTCCTATGCATTTGTCTCACAGCAAAAGAAGAGGCCGTTGAGATAAACCATGGGCATCCGCCGCCTGAAATGCTCAGAGATCTGCCCCTTCAGAAAACACTACACCCTCCTGCACACGGCCAGTGACTGAAAGTTATCGCATCTCACGACTGTGGCCTATTAAACAGGGTTGGGTGATTTCTGTCCAGTTTCCTGTGGACAAGTGTCTCCCATCACAAAGAGCACTTGCACACTGGGGACACTAACTGGCAACCTCCACAGAGAGGCCAAGGTACGAATAAGCCCCAGAGGTCGAACTGAAAGATGAGGTCGCTCCAGGTCAGGGCTTTGTGGCTGGGAGGGAAGCTTCTTGTTCGGTGGGTAAAGCAAGGATTCGCTCTGCTGGGCTGTTAATCAGCTGCCCTCAGGAGAACCACAGTCATCCAAAGAAAGTACACATGCCGGGTTCTTTAGGAATGGCTGCTCAGACACCAGACCTTGTGCTCACATTACTACAGTATTTTGGCTCCTGGGGAACACGGAGACCTTTGTTTCATGCGTAGGGGTTTAGGCCCAGAGCCTCAATGGGAGTTCAGCACCTGAATACCTTGGGGGACCTGGACTTTAGTCTTTGTTTAAAACAAGTGGTTTAAGGTTACAACGCAGCGTTGGCCTGATCCTGAGACGGGCTGGCATTCAACTCCCATTGGCTTCAATGGGGCATCCAGAGCCCGAGAGTGCTACTCTCATGTAGCTGGCTGCCAGCGTAGGGCTACCCTTGCCACAACCTTTTCCCCGGCCTCTCCCCCTGAGCCAGGAACCAGGAAGTGAGTGGCACAGGAGCAGCTCCAATCGCTCTATATCACCTGTGGATCCCCTCTATGCAGGTGTGCTGGTTTTATTCTACCTCATCTTCCCCCTCAAAGCAGCTACCCCAGCTCACACCAGCTGAAAATCTGGCCCAATGACTCCAAACTGAGACCTAGAGCACCACCTGGCGAACGCCCTTTACTTCCTTCATCGCTAGGGCCTGATCCTGCAAGAGCTGCACACAGAATTTGGAGTGGGGGTGGGGCGGAAATCTAGGCATGAGGCAGCATGAAGTCAGGCCCCACTGAGGTGATCAAAAGAACTCACTCATTTTCCAGAGAAGGGACCTCGGGGAAGGAGAAATGGGAACAAAAGGGTTGTGTGAGGAAGCCACTGGCATTGCACAGCACAAAACATTGCAGAGGTCTCTGTAGTGTGTTTAGATGGGGAGAGAAAATCCACAAACATACCCCACTTGCTGCAAAAGACTCTCCTTTGGTACATTATAAACAATAAAGAGCCTTTCACCTGCAACCGGGCACACAACCAACACAGAAACGGCTACATTTTAAAAAAAAAGAACCCTCAACAACTTCCAACGTTACACAGTGTTAGGCTGTGTAGCGTCGGAGATCAGACAGAGCGTGAGCTGCTTTTGACTTGCCAGTCCAATACTGCCAGGATGAGGAACTCCATTAGCTCCTTGTCATAAGACGACAGCTGAATTCTATATAACATCCTACAGCACAATACAGAGCAGGAAAAAGGGGGAACAATAAGAAGACATGATCTAAAATATTCAAGTACATTTATCAGCCCGATAAATGGAGTTGCTATCCGCAGGTTTCCCAGCATCAGATCTCTCAAGCTTTAGGTCTCCTTACCTTCTCCCAGCGTGCTCACCACCATGACTTCAGAGGCTTTGCTGGCACCCCGGGAGGTATAAGCCTTTATATAGAAGCTATAACTGGTCGAGGGCTCTAAATCCGTCACTAGTTGCTGGAAGGTGCTTTTGCTAACAGCCTCCTGGTATTCCATCTCCACGGGGTCTGAAATGCACAAGAAAGGGAAAGCAGAGAGACATTAGCTTTGCCTAAGAGGGAATGATCGGACAGACAAATGCTGCAGCAACAGTTTACTAAGTCGTAGTTTTGCATCAAAACAAGGAACTGCATTTGCCTGGCCTGATTCTACTCACCATGGGAGTTGGACTGGGCCCATATAGCTTCACTTTCCCTTCCCTCTCAGAGGAAATACCAGCACTCGGTTCCTTATATTTAACTATTAGGCTATATGGAAGGTTTGGTATAACTTTTCTCATATTCTGCTTACTCTTATCTCCTATTCTCTGACCTGCATACAAAGACTAATCCTCAGGGAGATTCAGATGACAGGGATGAGATAACTTGATCATCTCTCTATCTAGTCATTTACATGCCCCTCATCACCATAATATTCAAGTAGGAGAAGGAGCATCAGGTTTTTTCCCATACCTGCAGCTTTCCTTATGTGCAGCACGTAACCGATGATCTCCTTGGTGTTCTGCAGAGGTTCGCTCCAGGATACCTGGACGGTGGTTGCGGAGACGGTCTCAGCTTTCACATTCTGCGGGGGACCAGGCAACCCATCTGCCCACAGCACCGTCAGGCGCGCGCTGGCTTGGGTAGAGCCGGCGCTGTTCTCAGCGATGCACTGGTAGATAGCTTCATCCTCCTGACTGATCCCGTAGATTGTGAGTGTGCTAAAAATACAGGCCGACAAAACAAAACAAGCTGTTCTGAGCCGAGCGCTTTCCTAGAAATATCTGGCCCCTTCAAAATCCCACCTGCCCGCCACAGCGAGGTCCATCCGGCCGGGTCTGAAAAGATGTCACAAACAGCTGAGGCTGACTGTGGTACCGTTGAAATAAATCCCATTTGGCATTGCTTGCTGAGCCAAACAGGAGCTATAAATAGGCTCCCAACGCTGCATCTGCAAGTTGATGATTCCATGAAAAGAAAAAGCCCAGGGAGGAGGAAGAGAAAAAGGAGAAGACATTATCCTGATTTTGTAACCAGGCGGCATATCTGTGTCTTGAATTAAAGAGATTGTGGTCACCTCTAATTAAAGTTAGAAGGGAAGAGGCACACCCCGAGGGGCTGCTGCCCCTGGGCTGTGGAGAAAGAATGAGACACTAACAATATAGGTCGCAGTTACAGGATGGGCAACTGTGTCCTACACTGAGCCGTGTCTGTGAGAATGACTTAGGGGTCATGGAACATGGGTTCCCAGTGCAATGCTGTGGGGCAGAGCGGGAGAATGCAATCCTCGGCTGTATAAACAGGCAAGTATCAAGGAAGAGTAGGGAGGTGGCATTCTCAAATCTGATTCATGTTCATCTTCTTGCTTAGAACCTGCCTTTTCTCAGTGGAATCTTAATCTGCCCTGGCCCCCCAAGCTCAGCTGAGTTGCTTTCAGCACAATTCTTTACACCTGAGATATTTGCCAGTCATTTGCTATTTCAGCCTAGAGATGAGAATGGTGCTTCATGATCACAAATGGTCATGAGGGAGGGAAGCAATCTGAGTTCAGCAGAGTGAGTATGCAAGACAGCACAGGGAAAGTGTGAATTCTGAGCCCTACTTTCAGTAAGATTTTAGTCTCACTGAAGAACCTGATTCTTCAAGAAGGTAAGAGCCTCTAGACAGGTGCTGAGCTCAGCTGGTGCCAACTTCAGCTGTTAAAGGTGCTTGGTGCCTTGCAGAGTTGGGCCCTACACCTGCTTGGTCCCTGTGTCTATTCACATGATGTTAACTTGGCTAGGAAGGATTATCGAAATAGCTACCAACAATGAGCTGGCAAAGGCAAAGCCCGTGAAATTTAAGCCAAGTCTAATCAACCCCAGTCAGAAAGCCCTCTGGTGATGTTGTAATTGTATTATAGCACATTATAGCAGTCTTAGGGTAACATTAGGATTAGCCCACTTATCCTGCGGGGCTGTAGCTTCATCCTTTGCCTTTGTGTACTGAAAAGCCTGATCATTTCAAACCGAAATCCAAAGACTGCGAGCCTGTTCTCCGGTTTTCACAAAACCTCCGTGTGCATTTCTGATGCTGGTGTTTGAAAGCACCGATTTCATACTGCAATCATTGGAACTGCTCTTCAAACATACTGCAGGGATAGGGGTGGGGGGGGCTGCTTCTTGGTTTAGGGGCTTTCAGTCACAACCATTTCAGCAGGGGGAAAAAGCCCGGTCATGCTCCAAATCTCTAAAATGCTGGTGGCTCTGTTCATTGATTCTAGTGCCCCAATCCTGCCAGTGTGAGAGGATGGTTGTTCGTTAGATAGGTGGTAATACGCAGAATTAGATTCCATTTACACCTCAGGTAGTTGAAGTGAATTGCTGCTTCAAGAACTGCACGGTTTTATGACAAGGGCCATTTATAACTGAGACAATTTCATATCCAATGGAGTGGAACAGCTGCCCAGATTCAGACAAACAGAGCCAGCAACTATCAATTTCAGAAAGAAAAAAAGAAAAGAAAAGAGGACACACTTGTTACTAGCAACCTGCCTATTTTGCTATTTACTGTTCAAAACAGCATTTTAGTAACTTTCAGCTCTCAAAGGGAGGCAGACAATGCATGGTCTGGTCTTTTAAGCTCTTACATATTTCCTCAAAAATCAAGTTTGGAACAAAAAAAAGAGATTAAAAGTAAATATCCAATACATCAGCCTTCAAAGACCCAGGGTCACTGTACTCTTACAATGTTCTTTCTGCTACCTAATAGAAACTGGCAGGCAGCCTCTGAAGCTCAAATAAACTGGAGTTGCTTCTAACAACCTTGATGCAGTAGCTCAAGAAGGTGCCAAACAAAGTATATTTATAACTGCGTTAGCCCAGTTACTATTGTGTAAAAAAGAGGGAAGTTGATGCTTTTTTCAGCCTGCTCTGAAGATGTAAATTCCTGCTAAGCTCAGCTTGAGAATATGTTGCATGGGAGAAAATACTGGAACACTTATTTTAAAAAATAAGAGATGGTTCTAGTACAAATCACTGCTGTAAATTGTGGTTGAATTGTAATTTCTGCTGTAAATTGAAGTGTTTTGGACCACAGCTAGAATACTAAAATACTTATATATAAGGTTACCTTCCATTAGCCTTAAATGGACTTACTTGAACTCATCAATGAGAGAACACAGCCCTGTGTGTGTGTGTAGGAATGTAAGTAGAGTTAAAGGGAATATCCATCCACTTAGAAATCTCACTGACTGGCCCCCACTTTATCAATCGGTCACACTAGCCACAGTAAATACTGACCACCAGAGGCTCGTAATAGAGTCAAACCTCTCTGAACAGCATCCACAAGTTATCTTCATGGCTGATGTCAGGCACTAACATGGAGATCTGAGTTCAAGTGGAAAAGGAATTGACTAGGGGTCCGGGGAGTGAGTCAGGCGCTCGGTCCCCGGTGGGTGAATGACTCCAGCAAACTCCTCTGGCCAGCTAAAAAAGTACAGAAGGGATCTGGAAGAGTGTCCCATCCCAGCCTCCTCTCTGTGGGGGAGGAAGGTTCCCACAGCATGGGGCCTTGACTGGGAAGGCGTGAAAGGGAGAAGAACATGTTTATGAAATCATTTCAATATGGTGGGAGAGGTACAGTGTATGGCATCTTCACACCATTTCTATCTCACAATCAAGGGCAAATTCTAAACCATTGATGTAACTTACATAAGTCTCTGATGAAGATGAGCCCTAACCAAATGCACAGATCCAGCCACCCACTCTGGGAAAGCTCAGACATGGTGCTAAACCCAGTGCCTGAGCCCCATCCCTAGCTGATGTTGGGAAGTTACCAGTACATTTACATCAGCCAGGACTGGACAATGTTGGAAATATTTTTACTAACCTTTGAACTGGCATTTTAACTTACCATGTTCTATTGGATGTTTCTCATCACCTGACAAAATCCTGCAGGGTATATATTTTCACACAGGACATTTTTCATTCATTATTGTACGTAAACTCTGCTTACCACTGTATCACATGATATAGTTATACATTGTGGTGGCCACATACCTGTTGCACTGTATTTATGCTTATTTGCCTGGTTGTTCTCATGATGATTTCCTGAGTTCTGTTCAGTACATTTGACAGGTTTTGAATGGTTTTGCGTTGGCTCACTTGTAACTTAGCAGAAAGTTTCATTGGATCATAATGTCTCAGGGTTTCAGTGACATTTGTACAGTATATGTCAAAGTCAGCATGCAATAAATGATTCCTCAAGCAGAAACAAACACACACACACACAGACAGACCCTTTGGTATGTAAGAAATGCTCCAAATCTAACCAAATCCACATTTACTACCAGATCATGGCATTAAAAAAAAACATTTTATTACATGAGGGTGAACGTTAGAGATAAAGAAACACTGTGGATGAGTCTGGTCTCAGTTACGCTGGCGAAAATCTGGAGTAACTCTGCTGAAGTCAGTGAAATTACATGACTTTAAGTAAGGTCAGAATCAGGCACATTGTTTATGTCAGTGAAAAACCGTAAGTAGAAAATGTAAATTACAAATAACCCAACATTGTCTGATTGTATATCATAATGAATGATTCTTTTAATTGTAACAAAATATTGGTCTTCCTGTATTAAAATTAATTATTGCTGTTGATTTAACATTTATATTTCTGCCTTGCAAATCATCAGGACTGGCGCACATGAGCAAATGTTTAACAGCCATCTATTTATGTCCTAGGCCTTTGTTTCCTTGGAAACATTGTAAATGGAATACGAAATAGGACGGTTTCAGCTGATATGGTGATTTCAGTGAATCAAACCGTAAACTCCCTTCATAGCCATAGGCTCAATATAGCTGATTAAATGAAAACGGAAAGGGGGGAAAGAAGGCCCAATTTGTAGCTCAACTGTGCCAACAAGAGATGATTTCCACAAGGACAGATGGTGCAAAGGCGGGATTATGCAATTCAAAAGCTGTATTTGCAGCTTTGCATAAAACAGAAGCTGTGAGAAAGGAGCACGAATGCTGCTTCCGTCTGCAGCATCAATATTGGGATTATTCTTATGAATTCGCTGGGCATCTGTGTACCTAGGAACAGCCTTATCCAGGCTGGCTCTGAAGCAGAGGGGAGCGCGGAACCTCCCGATTGCAGACAAAGCGACACAGAAACAATGGGAAGCATTTAGCTTCCACGGACTTATCGCTGGGTTTAATATACATTTTAAATGTAGGAAGAGAGACAGTCAGGGTCGGGGAGGGAGCAGTGCCCTGGCTCTGTTCACACCTCACTGTCCTTTCGTTTCGTTCTTGGGCTGGCTGCTCAGATCGATGGAGCAGACTCTATAGCGTTCTTTTTTCATATGGCCACTTGCAAAACAGCACTCAAGGTCAACGTCCAAGTCCGACATCCACTCTGTGGCTTCCAGTGACATGGAATGAATCAAAGCTGCCCCACCAGAGAAGGCTCTTAGAGGGCAGTGGTTCACTAGATCAGTGGTTCTCAAACGAGGGCCACCGCTTCCTGGAACGGCAAACTGCGGCCAGTGGGAGCAGCGATCGGCCGAACCTGTGGATGCAGCAGGTAAACAAACTGGCCCGGCCCACCAGGGACTTTCCCTGAACAAGTGGTGGCCCTAGTTTGAGAACCACTGCTCTAGATGGTCCGTGGTTTGGATGTCTTCCCTGAGAGTTTCCTGTAGTGGGGAGCCTTTGAAAACATTAGGAACTGGCCCCTA